CAAGATCTTTCAGGCATTTTTCACCAGTCTATAAAATTGAAGGGGTTGGCAGTGAACACTTGGAGCCTTTGGGCTCTATAAAATTGAAGTGCATAAGGCAAGATGGGCAAGAGCAACTAGAGTATTCAGGTCAGCTGTCAATAAAGAAGGGTTGGGGAGCCTGATTTTATAGAAGGCCAACTAACCCCCCCAACCATCTACGAGAATGACTTGGCGGCATCGATTCTATAGAGATTGTCAACTTGAAAATACCTTGGGGTCTCTGATTCTATAGATGCATTTTCGGAAAGGGGGGTCATGTCCTCCTGATTTATCACTAATACAAAGGGGGATCACTATTACGTTTTAAGTTTTTATAGTTCATTTTTATACACTTTAATTTATATATATAACATTTTCGTTTGAAATATATTCATATATTTATCTTATTGTTTCCTTATTTTAGTCCTTGTGGAACTGGTGTTTTACCAGTTCCACCCTTGAAAAGGACAGCCTGTATCAGGCTGTACAGGTGAGCAAAAGCAGCTTTAGGCTTTTTCAAGCCTACTGCTGCATTCAAACTGCACCAGGCACTTTTGAGGCTGCACTTGAACAACATTCATTTGAAAGGTAAATGCTTCTTGAGTTGAGCAGTGTAAGATTAATATATATATATGTCATGAAGTAAATTTGCAGCCTCTGGTGTGCCTGGTGCCTGTGCTGCATGCAGGAGCTTTTCCAAGCTCATTTGTGCTTGCATGTCAGGGGCTGCTTTTCATGGAAAACAACATGCTTATGATAATACATTTGTTGGTTAAAAAACAAACATTGTTTGAACAAAAACATGCATGCAGCCCCATCCATGCTGACCAGCAGGCTTTTCTAAGCCATTTTGCTTTGGGCTCCTCAGGCTTTTCCAAGCCTTTGCCTTTGCAGGCTTTTTCAAGCCTTTTGTGTGCAGCTTTCCCAAGCCTGTTGGGCTTCAAGGGGCTTTTCCAACCCATTTGCAAGTGGTGCTTTTCCAAGCACCTTTGCCATGCCTCACTTGGTGGTTTGCTTCTGCAGGTACGCACCCACTGCTTCAGCAAAGGTTTCCCCACCACCAGTCCAATCATGGCCTTCTTGCTTAGTGTTGATTGGATATGTGTCCAATCCCCACCCCTGGCATTCTTTGATGATTGCGTTGCAATCATCAAAAATTGCACAAGCCCCCCACTCATAGGCCCAATAGCACTTGCCATTGACCCCCACCTTCTTGTAGCAGATCTCTTTTGCAAGCATCTGCCCCAGGTGGTCTGGGATGTGGAGCTCCATGTCTTCTTTCACAACCTTAGCTCTGTTGCTGGACCCAACATAGCTAAGGAGGGTGACATGGCAGGAACTGGCCAGCTTTTCCAAGCTTGCCAAGTTCTCTGCTGGGACTTGGTTACCTACCCAGAGGGTGTTGTACCAGTCCACAACCACCTCTGGCTTTTCCAAACCAGTGGGAAGCATCCTTTTCCAAGGGCTTGGCCTTTTCCAAAGCCTTTCCCTTTCTCCTTTTGGCATCCACCCAGGGCTCCTCCTTCTTTGGCTTTTCCAAACCAGTGCTGGAGGAGCTGCCAGCAGACTCAGCAGACTTTTTCAAGCCTTTCCTGGGAGTGAGGGATGCCTTTCTGGGGGTGCCATCTTTTCCAAGATGCTTTGAGCCACCAGGCTTGCCAGAGACCTTAAGCTTTTCCAAGCTCTTTGTCAAGGCAGCCTCCCGCTTGCCCTGGCAAGCCCTCTGGGCCTTTTCAAGGCCTTCCAGGTACTTCAGACTGACCATTGGAGGTGCGTCCTCCTTTCTTTCCTTACATGGGAAAAATTCTCCCATGACCAAAGGCCTGCCCTTTTTGTTGGGTGGCCCTGGAGGTCCCTGCATGGCTTTCCCAAGCCTTGGCCATCCAACAGGCTAGGCCGCTAGGCCTTTTCCAAGACCAATCCCTTTCCAGGGCAGCAGAACTTTTCCAAGCCCACCAACAGCTCAGCTACTGCAAGGGGCTAAAAGCTGTGGTGCTGTGTTGTTGTGTGTTGTTTGTGTGGTGAGTTGTGTGTCAGTGTGTTGCTGTTACCAGTTTGTATGTTGTTGTGTTGTCAGTGTGTTGTTGTGTTGTCAGTGTGTTGTTGTGTGTTGTATGCTGTTCTATGTGTTAGTGACTATTATATAATGTATGTTCATCTGTGTGTGTGAACATGTGACGACATGTTGTCATGCAGGTTGAGCCACCCAAGCTGAAACAGCTGCAGACATGCATGCAAGTTGTAGGTCAGCACAACATACCCATTCAGTAGAGGTACTAGTAGCTACAGCTGCTTGCACTGGCCTGCTTTTTTCACAAGCCCAAACTGTAGCTTCTCACCTATGTACATGGCCTTTTCCAAGGCCATTTGCTGCACAGCTCAGGTCTTTTCCAAAACCATTTGCAGCTATGCAATCTTTTCCAAGACCTGGATGGAGGGGTCTTTTCCAAGCCCTTGGCCTTGCAAGTGCCTTTTTCAAGACATTTGGAATGAAGGTCTCTATCAACCACCATACTTCTCCAGGAGCTTGGCTCTCATAGAGAGGGCTTCTTCCTTGGTCAGGCTATCCTTTTCCAAGGCTTCCCTGATCTTGCCAATCAAGGCCTTATAGTGTGGACTCATTTTTTAATGATTTCCACAATCAGGTGCATCCTGCCACCTTCCACCATCCCACAGATATAAGACCTGGGGTTGGTGTTTTTGGCATCCACTTGCCTGAGCTTAACCCATGGCTTTCTTTGATTGGAAGTACCTTTTCCAAGGCTGTCTTTTCCAAGACTGGCAGGCTTCTTGAAGGCGCCTTTTCCAAGACATGCTTGCAAGACTTTTCCAAGCCATAGCCCATGGCTGCACGCAGCCTGCTCCCTGGCCTTTGTTGGGATACCAGCTTGGAGGAAGAGGGTGATGGCTTTTCCAAACCCAGAGGGTGGTGGCTTTTCCAAACCACTGGCAGCAGAGGGTGATGGCTTTTCCAAACCACTGCCACCCTTTTTGGCCTCATTGTGTGCTGGGGACTTGAACATATCAGGGATATCTTCAGAACCCATGGTCACATCACTATCCCTTGGCACAAGCTGCCTTTTGGCTGCATATACTTTTCCAAGCACACCCTCCTCCTCCTCCGCCTCATCCTCCTCCTCCTTGACTTTGATCTTTTTCAAGCCTTCCATGAGACATTGGTACTGCACCCTGGTCAGTTTGCCAGCTATTGCTGTCAAACTGCTGCTATCCCTTTGGAGCTTCCTGCAGTGGGTTAGCATGCAGTTCAGTCGCTCCACCTTCAAGTTGCACCACACCAGTCCACTGTGGTCACTGCTGTTCAGGTCAGGCATGTCCACTAAGAGTGATAGCAGTGCTTGCCTCAATGGCTGTGAGTGGATCATGCCACTGGGTTCCAGATTGACCAAATCTGACCGCAGTGGCTGCAAGTCTAGCAATGCCTTAGGATGTGGAGCAGCACTTGAGGCTGCCCAAATTCTTCAGCAATTGCCCATGCTTTTTCAAGCAGTCATATAAGAGCCCCACATCTATCCAGGGTTTGGGTGGGTTTCTAGCACCACCTCTACCCCCAGGCACGATCTTTTGCAAGACCTGGGGCAGGTCTTTTCCAAAACCTGTGCTTGGACTTTCCCAAGCCCTGAAGGCCTTTTCCAAAACCTATAGGGCTTGGACTTTTCCAAGCCTAGGCCCTTTCCAAAATTGCAGCCTTTGAAGGCTAAAGGTTGAAAAACACAAATGAGCCAAAAAGCTGCAAGATCATGATATTGATAGGATATTGATCTTGATATTGATATTGATAGGTTTCAGTATGCTATCAATATGCTATCAAGAAATGGATCAATATTTAGATCAAGATGGTATCAAGAAAAAATCAATAAGAAATATTGATTTGCAACTGCAGGCAAAAATCAATATCTCAGAGCCTCAAAATATTGATCCTAATCAATATGCGATGCTCAGGGCAAGAGCCGCGGCACCAAGTTCAACAAGAGTTGCGTCCACAAGTTGAACCGGAATCGGTGCTATAGGTTTGGACGGGCCAGCGCCTGAGCACAACATGCATGTGGGACTTGCTGCCAGCAACTGCGTCCAGCAATCAGATGCTTCGACAGCACGTTTTGCAGGGTTTGAACGGCTCTGGGTTCTGTCAACACTAACTCCATCAGTTTTTACAGGGTTCAAGCAACTGTTTCCAGCACCTGCCACTGAGGCGGATGTGGAGCCAAGGTTTAAGGTGATGGAGGTTATTTGCGGGATTATGTTCGACAAAGGAAAAGGTGTGACAGGAGACCTGGAACAGCTGCCCATCGAAAGAGGTATCGCATTGAAACATTTGCTGCAGGCATCAACATGTCGACCTGGGAGATGAGCAACCTGACAACTTGCCAAAACAGGCGCCAACTCGCACCTGCTGCCGCAGCTGCAGTTGGCTGTCCAGATCTCCCAGGAGAAGCCATTTCATCCTTCTGATCCGGGTCCTGGTCAACTATCTTGCCCAGTTCGACAACTCTATGCATGGCTTGCGCGCGTCCTGAACTCACCCTCGCGTCACGCAGCTTGATAAAAGTTGGCGCCGCAGCTCTTGATTCTATTTGGCCAATCGCACGCCTCAGGACGTACAAGTTCCCAGCTGGCACAAGGCTAATGAAGTTCAACCTGATGGTGCTGTACCGAGGGCAACAGTATGACAGGGATCTAGAGCGACGTGCCAACTTTGAGATTGCACGGTGATGCGGTCGGCAATTCACAATTTCCAAGAGATCACACAGTCACAGATCGTTTAAGACCTGCCCAAGCCGAATCCTGCAGAGTTAGCCCATCAAGAGAAGATGAAGGCACGCAAGAGAAATGACGACCGCCAAAAGTTCGAACCGCAGAGAAAAAAGGAAGTGCTCCTATCCCTTGAACACGCATAGCGCGAAAAACTGGGCGAATCTGCGCGAGACCGCCAGTGAACCGGGTGCAACTCAATTGCTCAGGCGAAAGAGGTTGACCCTGCAGGAAGCTTGGGCAAACGTCATGAAGCCCTGGGCATTCGCAGCCGAAGCAGCACTTTAAGGCGCCCTGCACGCAAAACGCATCAAACAGTTCAAAACGATTCAAAACGTGTTTGTTCCGGCGTGTGTCAAGTTTGTCGGATTGACAAGCAGTTACTCTTGGACATTAAGTATTTTGATTTGCTGGTCCTGAGCACTCCCACTTGACTATTGCAACCAAGACTGCGAAAGCAAATGACGCAACAAAATTTAGATGAATTTAGTCTACTATATAATATTTGTTGAGCGTCCTGAGGTGTGTTTGTGTGTGTGTGTGACACGCCGAGCTCCGTTCATGCTGCATTCAAACAGTTTCGAAGTCTAGGCCACATGCGCCGCGCGCAAACTTGTAATTTGCGTCTTCAAACAACCCATTTCTTGCAACTGCAAACGGTTTTGATACCAAGGACCCAGAGCTTTGATCCAGCAACTGACGGTCAGAACGTATAGTTGTTTTTTCTCGCTTCGGTGCAACTTATTTGAACGAAGTGTCTGGTGATTCAAATGATTCATGGTGCACGACAAATTCAAAAAGTATTTTAGACATTTTTTGGCCAAATTGTAGACATTGTATGGCATTGTATGCGCTCGGTCCCCAGCAAATTAGCAATGTTATATTATATATATATATATAGGATGGAATGAAATTTTTCAAAAAGTTACACTTGCACTGCGTTACATGAACATACTCATCGCTTGGACACACGGACTTAACTTCATGATGTATACAACATGCATGCGTTTTCTTTTTATTACGACATGACCATATTTTTTAATATACATCCATTTTGTATCATCTCTTTATATTTTATTGAATTTACACGTACTATCATTGGACAAAGTATGCCCTGATACTGATTTTCTCAAACAATTTGTAAGTTTGTGTTTGTGAAATTTTGTAAATATTTGTTGTTGGCCTCTGTAACCCCTGAAATAATTAGGCATACCAAAGTTTTTTCCCGAGAGCGTTTGAGCGAAGGGTTCTTCCAATAGTGAGGGTCTGTCAAACATTTTCACATCTTCTCATCTTCACATCCTCACATCTTCACATCTGTTCATCTTCACATCCTCACATCTTCTCATCTTTTGATCTTCACATCTTCACATCTTCTCATCTTCACATCCTCACATCTTCACATCTGTTCATCTTCACATCCTCACATCTTCTCATCTTTTGATCTTCACATCTTCACATCTTCACATCTTCTCATCTTCACATCCTCACATCTTCACATCTGTTCATCTTCACATCCTCACATCTTCTCATCTTTTGATCTTCACATCTTCACATCTTCTCATCTTCACATCCTCACATCTTCACATCTGTTCATCTTCACATCCTCACATCTTCTCATCTTTTGATCTTCACATCCTCACATCTTCACATCCTCACACCCTCACATCTTCACATCCTGACATCTTCACATCCTCACATCATCACATCTGCTCACCTTCTCATCTTCACATCCTCACATCTTCACATCTTCTCATCTTCACATCTTCACATCTTCTCATCTTCACATCTGCTCTTCGTCTCATCTTCACATCTTCTCAGCTTCACATCTTCTCATCTTCACATCTTCACATCTTGACATCTTCTCATCTTCACATCCTCACATCTGCGCATCTTCACATCTTCACATCCTCACATCTTCACATCTTCACGTCTTCACATTCTCTCTTGCCCTCTTGCTCTCTTGCCCTCTTGCCCTCTCCTTCTTTTCTATTTCTCTTTTGAAGGCGCGGGGCAGTGCCAACGAGACGGCACGAAACGCAACCCTTTCGCACGAAACGAGGTTCGATCGCCAAAAACTGAGGTAAAAATTGCGATTTCGCGGGTCCGATCGCAACCCTTTTGCACGAAACGAATTTCGATCTCGAAAAACTGAGGTAAAAGTGCGACTTGCAAAGCGTCCGGCGCAACCCTTTCGCACGAAATGAGGTTCGATCACCAAAAACTGAGGTAAAATTGCGATTTGCAAAGCGTCCGGCGAACCCTTTCACACGAAATGAGGTTCGATCGCCAAAAAATGCAGTAAAACTGCGATTTCACGGGTCCGGTCGCAACTCTTTCGCACGAAATGAGGTTCGCTCGCCAAAAACTGAGGTAAAATTGCGATTTCACGCATATCCGGTCGCAACTCTTTCGCACGAAATGAGGCTTGATCGCCAAAAACTGGGGTAAAACTGCGATTTCACGGATCTGGTCGATTTCGCTTCTGTGTGTAAAAGCTTCTGTGTGCGAAAGTGTTTGTGTGTAAAAGTGTCTGTGCGTAAAAACGCATGTGTGTAACTGTAAAAGTCTCTGTGTGTAAAAGCGTCTGTGTGTAAAAGCTTCTGTTTGTAAAAGTCTCTGTGTGTGAAAGTGTTTGTGTGTAAAAGCGTCTGTGTGTAAAAGTGTCTGTGTGTAAAAGCGTCTGTGTGTAAAAGCCTATGTGTGTAAAAGTGTCTGTGTGTAAAAGCTTCCGTGGGTAAAAGTGTCTGTGTGTAAAAGCTTCTGTGTGTAAAAGTTTCTGTGTGTAAAAGCGTTTGTGTGTAAAAGCGTCTGTGTGTAAAAACCTATGTGTGCAAAGTGTCTGTGTGTAAAAGCTTCCGTGGGTAAAAGTGTCTGTGTGTAAAAGGTTCTGTGTGTGAAAAACCATACGAAGGATACGATGCAAACTATTGTCTTGTACTTGTAATATATTGTGTTGATACTACTCTTCTCGTCTGTCTATTATACATCTTTAATATATTGTAAGATAGTGTCTCAATACTAACAACAAAAGACCCTGCTCCTCTACGCTCTCAGGCCATCCGTCGTCTAGTTCATTCAATTAATTTAGTTTGCTATCCCTACTTCTAGTCCTTACATTATCCCAATTTGTTCTAGATAGTTTTGATGAAATTTGGACGAAATTATCGAGTTTGGTTTGAAACAGTGGTTGCGCCGAATGAGACTGGAGGGTCCACTTGTCATGCTGCTGTGGTCCACCAAAGGTGGGTGCCACGCTCTGCAATGGCCGTCACCAGTTGCGACGAAATAGAAAACACTGCGCAGTTCAAACTTTAAATACTTCAAATTTCACACAGTTCAAATTTTCATTGACATGTCCCAGAAACATCCAGAAACATTATTGATCATTATTGTACAGTATGTATGTGTACTCTATATATATGATATGTGAGAGCAGAATTGCAATTGAACCGAAATGTAGAAATGCATTTGCGAAAAATGTTGTTTCTGCATTTGTGTGGTTTTGGTGAGTTTTTGTATTTATGTAATTTATGTAGTTTTTAATTAATATATACATGTCGGGCAAAGGATACTCTGCCACTAGAAGTGATCAAGCAGTTGCCGCTGACCAAAGTTTAGCCTCCTATTTGCCACAGAAGAACGTAATCCTTCATCAGTGCTGCAAGTGCTCAAGTGGCAGACCCAAATGTGTTTCACAGGTTCAGGCCCGAATCACTGTGGTAATTTTGCAAGGAGGATTGGTATGATTTGGTATTACTTGATATCATTACATTGATATACTTGATTTGTGGACTTATGATTCATTGTGTTGGACTGTAAGATGTCTCCAAAGGTGAGTCCTTGAAATTTTGGCAGCTGGTTTCAGGTTCTACAGTATAACATAGAAAAACGTGAAGGCAGGCCTTGCAGGAATCTAGAGTTTTCCATGCTAAGTGTAAATAATTGGATGTCAATTTTCAAAACGTTTTATCGAGGAAACTACCCAGACTCCAGCCATATTTTTGCAATATTTTGCTCAATCATGGTTGTGCATCAGTAGGTTTGCCATGTACTGTGGGTATCCTCGCCGTAAAATTATGTAGAATGAAGATGCATGAGTGGAACCTACTTGTAGTTCTGTTCAGAGGCCATGAAATATGGGGAGGGATTGCCGGAGCAACAAGTATAACTTGATAACATTTTATGACCTACTTACTCCTTCAGGGGTAGTTGGCCCACCGCGGACCTAGTTTCCCCAGGCTGAGTTGTGGAATTTCTTGTATTTGTGCGCTGGTGATCGCTTTTAGTTTTGGGATGTTGTGAGTTTGTTTCACACTTCCCAATCTCAAAACAAGCCTCAGCCACGTGAGGCTTGCATGTGGACTTCCATGGCATTTGCACAGCCTGGATCCCAAGATGGCATTTGCCGTTGACTCCCAAACAACTGCGGTAAGGAAAAGTGAACTTATGAACAGATTTGTTTGATCTTTCTTGAATTTTTGAACGACCATCTTCAGAGACCATGTGTCGCTTCCATATGTTGCGGCTACTGGGTACCGTCCTGACATCGGAGTCAAATTTCTGGATTGGGAGTTCTTGGGAAGCAGCCGGGATGTACAAGTTTGCAAGCTAAAGGAGCTTGACAATGGCTCAAAAAGCCCACAATCCAGGCTCATTTATAGGACATTGAATGACATTGATATACATATATACTTTCATACTATCCTATGGTAGGCACTGACAAATGCTTAACGCAACGTTTCATGTCACCTTGTTCAAAGTGACCAGTAAAATTACAAGGTCTCCTCAAACGATTTATGGCTCTTGATCAACTGGAAAAGACGGTTGCTATCTGAACATATCGGAACATTATTTTTTGCCAAGCGTTCTTGGAGAGCATATAGCAGAGTGCGGCTAGTGGTGAAGACGGTAAAGAGAGAACCACACCATAGGACCATAGGCACTGCGCACTGCCATGGTCTTGATAACGCTTGGAGCGCTTGGTTTGGCTGCAGGAGGTGCTGCCTATGTGAAGACATCTCCTAAAGCTGCAGAAAACCTCCAAGTTACTCTGGGGTGGAAGAGGCCACGACGACGGGTTTGTGGCGAAGAAGGTGCTATGCCTTTTGTGGACAAAGATGCCCCCATAGTTCGGTGTTTTGGAGCTGGGAGACAGCGCTGCGGCGAAATTCGTCTGTTTGCTTTGTTTACTGATCAGCTCCTGTTGAACACCACAGCTGGGGTGCCAGAGGAGACATTGAATGTAGCTGGTGCAGATGTGTCTCGTCAAGGAGCAGTTGTAACTTTGCAGTGGGACTCAGTTGATTCTGCCGTTGATTCTGCACTGACTCTTTCCTTCGAAGATGTTGAAGAAGCAGAATTTTGGTCCGAAGCTTTGAGCTTTGCAGCTGGCGATGAGGGCCCTCAGGAAAAAGTGCACGAACTGGAGCAAAGGGTTGCTGCAGCACTGAGGGCTGCCTATGAGCGTTCAGCCAGGATCAAGGAGCTTGAAGACACCGTTGAGGCAGGACGAGAGAGGGAGACTCGTATCCAACAACTAGAAGAGGTCCTTCATGACACCCTGGAAGAGGCTGAAGCCAGGGCTGAAAAGATTGAAGCCTTGGAGTGGAAGTTGGAGTCTGGAAGAACTTCAGACCCTGCTGCAACGGCTCTGTTGCAGGATGCCATGGATTTCGCGGATCAGCTGTTAGAACAACACTCGGATTTGTGGACAGAGGATGATAGTGCTGCACAGCTGCGTAAAGCTGTGCAGGCTGTGCAACAAGCAAAGCCAGAGATTGATTCTGATGTTGCTGAACTCATCAGGCAGTTGGTGACAGCCCTGCTTTGGCCTGTCGTCTTGCGAGAATGCTTGACCGATGCTGAAGCCACAATCAAAGAGCAGGAAGAGATCCAGGAGCAGGCAACAAGAGAAATCATTGACCTTCAAAAGCAATGTGACACACTTGCAGCAGAGTCAGAGGAGCACAAGGCCGCATTAGAGGCGGCCAGAGAACAGAAGACTCTGACAGAGGCTGCGCATGAGGATGAAATGCAAAAGCTGAAAGAACGTGAAGAAGAAGCAGAACGCAAGCGGCAGGAAGCTGAGGAGAAAGCAAAAGAGCTTAGAGGGATTCTTGACTACGCTGACAAGGCTGCTGAAGAAGCGATCCAAAGGAAGCGTGAAGAGCTGGAAAAGGCTCATGGTGAAGAGTTTAAGAAACTGAAGCAACTGACAGATGTGGCAGACGCACAGGATGAGCTGGCCGAGAGGCTGCGAAGCCTGGGCGAAGGAAGTGCAGATGCAGCACATTGGAAGGCTGCGGCTGACCGTGCGCTGGAGCAATTCGCAGACTCTGTTCCGTCTGACCGGACAGAATTCAAAGACTTTAGTGGAAAGGACAAAGAGTTGGAGCAACGTCTCGAGGATGCAGAGAGAGCTCTCAAGAAAATGGAGGGAGGATCTGAACAGGCCGCACCTCAGAACAAGTAGGTGGATTCAATTGGAACCACTATGATTCACTTCAAGCACACTCAAATCGCACAATATTCTTCAAGCATCATCAAACATCTCATCAAATTCACTGATTGATTCATCATGATTAATTGTTTTGATTGAAGCATATTGAATCAAGCAGTGAAATTTGATGCATTTCGTGGAAATCCTTCCAAAGCTCCTTGACCTGCCAGGTCTGGGAAGAAAAAAAGTGGCAAAAAGGGCCAAAGAAGTTAAGTTGAGCATCCTTGTGAGTTGTGAGATGGGAAATGATAGGACCACGAATGTTTTTTCAAAGACTAGCTCTCGGCAAAGCTCACACCTTTGGGCATCAGAGAGGATCGGTTTTAATTCATTTCAAATGATAATGACATTGTATGACATTATTGATATTGCCTCACTATATGACAAGTGATTACGGCATTGTGTTTCGACCACTGACTTGTGCAGGGGCGTCGAGTTTTGACCGGATGCTTCAGCACTTAGTTGGACAGTTGGATTAGTTTCGCATTCTGCAGCAAAAAAGGGCCCCTTGTCTATGCCTCTTGGCCGCGACATACCACTCGACAAAAATCCCACTGTTTCTCTTAAGATCTGTTTTTCTCTGTTGTTCACTATCATTGGGAGCGAAGGTTTTCAAACAATAAACACGTCTCGACCGTCTCGAGTTGATAATGGCCACGCATTCTTGCCAGGTCAATTGTTGAGAGAGACAAGGTGCAATGTGGCGATTCCTGGCATGCAGGACTCAGCTTTTGAGTTTTGCAGATTGCTAGAGACTGCTAGAGATAAACGCTGATGATGGATGTGACCACAGTGAAGGTATTTTTTTGTCACACTGTAGCTGCGAAATGCTGTTGATATTTGGGTCCCGCCATTTCTTGATGCTATCATATGCTATCCATCTTTGGCAGGACCATTGGACCGTGGGTTCTTGGAGCTTCCCGGGTAATGTTTTTCTTGACGATTCTTGCAGCACATTTCTTGAGCTGGCCCCATGACTCTGGCCAGTTGCCCTGCGCTCAAATCAAAGTATATCAAAGTGCTCCATCGACGAAATATTTCAGTACGCAATCGTTGCACAGTCTATGCATAATTCATAATGTATTTGCATGATATTTGGATCTCTAACATGTTGTAATGATGATCAAATGTGATATGCGCACGTATCTGCACTCGTATTAAATTTCTTCTGCTCTTCTGTTTTCGTGTTTCAACAATTAACAACTTCGAACATGAAGTGGCTGGAAGAGCTTCCCCCTCCACCCTGCTGCTTGCATTGTGGAATAGTCTCGTTAGTCGTTAGTGTTTATCCGCTAAGAGAACGGATATCCGCCTAATCGATCTTAATTTATCACAATGTACTGGGTTACTGGTATAATATGGTGTATATACATAATATACAATTATATACACGTTTATATCTTAATCTATCCCAATCAATCCTATCTTGTTAATTATGATTATTATGTATCCACATCCTAATGTTAATGACATACTTCACCTTGGCGGAACACAGTGGATTCACATGCAGCGGTGCTACACGCAGCGTTGCACTTAGAAGGCTATGGAAGGATTTTTTGTTGAGCCTAGTCACTAGTCTATGCAATTGTTTCAAGTGCAGCCAAGCTGTTCAGGAAACTGTTCAACTAAGTCTTTGTGTTTAAGGCACCCGTCCTTTCGATGGACGTGCCACAAACTTGCAGCAAAAACTCCACTGAGTCTTGATGGATTCTGACGGGTCTACAATGTTTCGATGTTAGTGAAATTGAAGCGGAGTGCTACGGTGCTACCCTAGCTGTTTTCTTTGATTTGGATGAATCCTTGCACCTTTACAAAGTTCATCAAAGTTTCATAAAGTTCCTATGGTGAGAAGCATCACCTGCTTTGCTGCCAACCCTAACTGTGCAAATGTGGGAGGGGCTGCGCCGTCCGGGCGTCTTGCGAGAGCTTGGTACCCACCACATAGACGTCTTGGCATTCAGCATAGGCGACAGATGGCGACAGTATTGAACTGAATGCCAAGATGCTGAGCATTGCGAAGCTACTAAGCTAACTTAAGCTACTTGAATTATTTCTTGAGTTTGGAAAGTTGCCTCAGGACCAACAGTATCTTTACCCACAGGCACAAGATAGATCACACCAATATGATTGAGTTATATTAACAGCTATATAGTTTAAATGGTGTAGTCAGTTGCCTGCAAGTTTCAACATTGCGTAGAGTGTTTGCCCGCACCTGTTCCAGCCAATTGAGGTCAAGCTTGTTTGACTGTATTATTAGTGTTTTCAGCGAAGCCACAAAGCAAAGCACTCAGACATTAAAAACGGGTGCTTAGTCGTTGTCCCAGAGTCACCAAAGTAGCCAGGACAAACATGGAAAATCCATGATGCAAGACAGCACATGCACACGAGTATGATATGTGTGTAGATATTACAGACAATATAATTACATAGTTAATCATAGTTATACACATACCTTGTATGTATATATAAGGTAGTATATGTGTATATATTATAAACATACATTGTATGTGAATGTGTACAAATATAGTACTATTGCCACGATCTTTCGCTTCGTTCAATGCCGCCCACGTCGCCGGCAGCATTCTTCGGAACCTCCTCACCCATGAGCTACACAGCAAAAGCTCAGATGCGCTTGCAGGAAGACGCCTTGCGACTGGAGGCGACGGGTCCTAGGAATTCGGGACAAGAATGGACAGAAAGACTATCATTTTAGAAAGTGATTAGTTATATCATTGTTATCAAAGGAAGTTTAGTGGGAGAAACTTCCGTGTTACGGACTTTTAGAATGTCAAAGAAAGAGTTAGTCAAAGAAAGAGTTAGTCAAAGAAAGAGTTAGTCAAAGAAAGAGTTAGTCAAAGAAACAGTTAGTCAAAGAAAGTTAGTCAAAGAAACAGTTAGTCAAAGAAAGAGTTAGTCAAAGAAACAGTTAGTCAAAGAAAGAGTTAGTCAAAGAAAGAGTTAGTCAAAGAAAGAGTTAGTCAAAGAAAGAGTTAGTCAAAGAAAGAGTTAGTCAAAGAAACAGTTAGTCAGGGAAAGAGTTAGTCAAAGAAAGAGTTAGTCAGGGAAAGAGTTAGTCAAAGAAAGAGTCAGTGAGGGAAAGAGTTAGTCAAAGAAAGAGTTAGTCAGGGAAAGAGTTAGTCAAAGAAACAGTTAGTCAGGGAAAAAGGTAGTCAAAGAAAGAGTTAGTCAGGATATATGAGGTAGTCAAAGAAAGAGTTAGTCAAGGAAAGAGTTAGTCAAAGAAACAGTTAGTCAGGGAAAAAGGTAGTCAAAGAAAGAGTTAGTCAGGATATATGAGGTAGTCAAAGAAAGAGTTAGTCAGGATATATGAGGTAGTTAAAGAAAGAGTTAGCAAAGAAAGAGTTCGTCAGGGAAAGGGTTAGTCACAGAAAGAGTTAGTTAGGGCATTGATTGTTCCCGCAATGCAAATGGGATTGCAAGTGGTGCTGGTGGATGAGTTGCCGATGGAGTTTTGAAGGAAGTCTCGCACGAAATGCGTTTTTGAGAGATAGCAGATGCACGAAACCCTATGTTTTTCCATACAAAGTGCGTCCACGAACCTCGATGATCTACCTCTGCTGTGCGACGGGTGCGAGACGGTCTCGTGTGTGGTCGGATCATGGTCGGATCATGGGCGGATCATGGGCGGATCATGCTCGGATCGGTTCCGCATTGTAAATGGGGTTTCAACTGTTTTTCGTGCATGTGTGGTCGACAGAATTCCATTGTGATTTGCAACTGTAGGATCGTTCCCGCATTGTAAATGGGTTGCAAGTGGTGCTGGTGGATGAGTTGCCGATGGAATTCCATTGTGATTTGCAACTCTAGGATCGTTCCCTCACTGTAAATGGGATTGCAAGTGGTGCTGGTGGATGAGTTGCCGATGGAGTTGTGAAGGAAGTCTCGCACGAAATGCGTTTTTGAGAGATAGCAGATGCACGAAACCCTATGTTTTTCCATACAAAGTGCGTCCCCGAACCTCGATGATCTACCTCTGCGGTGCGACGGGTGCGAGACGGTCTCGTGTGTGGTCGGATCATTCTCGGATCATGGATCATTCTCGGATCGGTTCCGCATTGTAAATGGGGTGTCAACTGTTTTCGTGCATGTGTGGTCGACAGAATTCCATTGTGATTTGCAACTGTAGGATCGTTCCCGCAATGTAAATGGGATTGCAAGTGGTGCTGGTGGATGAGTTGCCGATGGAATTCCATTGTGATTTGCAACTCTAGGATCGTTCCCTCACTGTAAATGGGATTGCAAGTGGTGCTGGTGGATGAGTTGCCGATGGAGTTTTGAAGGAAGTCTCGCACGAAATGCGTTTTTGAGAGATAGCAGATGCACGAAACCCATGTTTTTCCATACAAAGTGCGTCCCCGAACCTCGATGATCTACCTCTGCGTGCGACGGTGCGAGACGGTCTCGTGTGTGGTCGGATCATGTTCGGATCATGTTCGGATCGGTCTCGGATCATGCTCGGATCGGTTCCGCATTGTAAATGGGGTTTCAACTGTTTTTCGTGCATGTGTGGTCGACAGAATTCCATTGTGATTTGCAACTGTAGGATCGTTCCCGCATTGTAAATGGGATTGCAAGTGGTGCTGGTGGATGAGTTGCCAATGGAATTCCATTGTGATTTGCAACTGTAGTATCCTTCCCGCACTGTAAATGGGATTGCAAGGTTGCTTCCTGCTTTGGCTGCATACGTAATACTATTGTCTTTTGCAGCTGGACTTCGTAAATCGTATTGGAGTGGCTGCATGAAGGCTGCGACAGTGATTTGTCAGCAGATTTTCTCCATTTTGGCGCTAGTGATTTTCCTTCTAAAAATCCTTTTAAAAAGTGCTTCAAAATCGTCTTTTTTTCGCTCTGGCGTCGAGATCCGGTTTTGGAGCTACAATTTCCGACGCCGTTGCGCGTAGTTCTATTGTGTTTTGCAACTCAGTCTCTGCAGATCGCATTGTAATGGCTGCGTCAAGGTTGCTTGTTGCTGTGGCTGCATTGGTAATACTATTGTCTTTTGCAGCTCGATCTCGTAAATCGTATTGGAGTGGCTGCATGAAGGCTGCGAAATAAATTTGTTAGCAGATTTTCTCCATTTTGGCGCCAGTGATTTTCCTTCTAAAAATCCTTTTAAAAAGTGCTTCAAAATCGTCTTTTTTTTCGCTCTGGCGTCGAGATCCATCCGGTTTTGGAGCTACAATTTCCGACGCCGTTGTGCGTAGTTCTATTGTGTTTTGCAACTCAGTCTCTGCAGATCGCATTGTAAAATGGCTGTGTCAAGGTTGCTTCGTGCTGTGGCTGCATTCGTAATACTATTGTCTTTTGCAGCTCGACTTCGTAAATCGTATTGGAGTGGCTGCATGAAGGCTGCCACAGTGATTTGTCAGCAGATTTTCTTCATTTTGGCGCTAGTGATTTTCCTTCTAAAAATCCTTTTAAAAAGTGCTTCAAAATCGTCTTTTTTTCGCTCTGGCGTCGAGATCCGGTTTTGGAGCTACAATTTCTGACGCCGTTGCGCGTAGTTCTATTGTGTTTTGCAACTCAGTCTCTGCAGATCACATTGTAATGGCTGCGTCAAGGTTGCTTCGTGCTGTGGCTGCATTTGTCATACTATTGTCTTTTGCAGCTCGATCTCGTAAATCGTATTGGAGTGGCTGCATGAAGGCTGCGACATGGATTTGTCAGCAGATTTTCTCCATTTTGGCGCTAGTGTTTTTTTGTTGCACGTAGGTTTAGAGCAGTGTGAAGTGTGGGGCGTGAAGAGTGCAGTGTGAAGTGTGCAGTGTGAAGGAAGCAGTGGGAAGTGAGAAGTGCGAAGTGTGGAGTGTGAAGTTTAAGTTTGGAGTGCGAAGAGCGCAGTGTGAAGTGTGAAGTGTGAAGTGTGAGGTTTGGAGTGTGAAGGAAGCAGTGAGAAGTGTGAAGTGCGGACTGTGAAGTGTGAAGTGTGAGTGAAGTGTGGAGTGTGAAGTGCGAAGTGAGAAGTGTGAAGTGTGAAGTTTGGAGTGTGAAGTTTGGAGTGGGAAGGAAGCAGTGAGAAGTGAGAAGTGTGAAGTGTGGACTGTGAAGTGTGGAGTGTGAAGTGCGAAGTGAGAAGTGTGAAGTGTGAGTTTTGGAGTGTGAAGTTTGGAGTGGGAAGGAAGCAGTGAGAAGTGAGAAGTGTGAAGTGTGGAGTGTGAAGTGTGGAGTGTGAAGTGAGAAGTGTGAAGTTAGGAGTGTGAAGGAAGCAGTGAGAAGTGAGAAGTGTGGAGTGTGAAGTGCGAAGTGAGAAGTGTGAAGTGTGAAGTGTGAAGTTTGGAGTGTGAAGGAAGCAGTGAGAAGTGAGAAGTGTGAAATGTGGAGTGTGAAGTGTGAAATGCGAAGTGAGAAGTGTGAAATGCGAAGTGAGAAGTGTGGACTGTGAAGTGTGAAGTGTGAAGTGTGGACTGTGAAGTACGAAGCGTGAAGTGTGGACTGTGAAGTGTGAAGTGTGAAGTGTGGACTGTGAAGTGTGAAGTGTGAAGTGTGGACTGTGAAGTGTGAAGTGTGCAGTGTGAAGTGTGAAGTGTGAAGTGTGAGGTTTGGAGTGTGAAGGAAGCAGTGTGAAGTGAGAAGTGTGGAGTGTGAAGTGTGGAGTGTGAAGTTTGAAGTTTGGAGTGCGAAGAGTGCAGTGTGCAGTGTGCAGTGTGAGGTGTGGAGTGTCGAGGGAAGGACACGGTCGGGACAGGGTGTCTTTGAACTATAGGTCATTTATGTTTGGGAAACTTCCGCCGCCGGCTTGCCCGGGTCTATGTTATCGATATATATATTATATATATATATCATGTATTGTATCATTTATGTGTGCCTTAAAAAAAACATATAAAATCATCCAATACCCCGCATATACCATGCTCAGTTCCCAGCACTCGCAGTACGTGTTTGAACAAGTTATACCAGTAGGATCGAGTTCTCAACCACGGCAACTCGGCCTGGCCAAATCCTTCCGCTCTTCCGGTCTTGGGTTGGAAATGGTTGGAAGATTTCATGGAAATGCCTCATATGCCTCGCCGATCCTCGCCGGAACTGACGCAAACGGCCGAATTGCTATCCCAGTTTCAAATTTCCAACTTTCACTTTAATTGAATGATAAAGTTGAACATAACTGGGTCTGTCAAATGTTGCCTTGGTTCAGCTCTTTTACTATTGCGACTATTGTGGATGCTTGCAGACTCGACTTGTATAGTTGCGATTTGATGCGATTTGTCCAAGCAGGGAAGTGCATCCCCGCCATGTTGCGTTGCTGGGCAGGCTGAGCATGGACACCGCCACGAGCTGAGAGCTATGGCTATGGAGGTCCGCTTGGGCGAAACATGGCGAAACCAGGTCTCCTCACAGCTCCTCATACAGTAGCTCCTCACATTCGATTCTCCAGACAATACATCAGAATTCCACAGACTATATGCAGATCTATGAATCTATGCAGCTCATAGATGCTCATAGTGGACAAAGAGAGACTAGGAAGACAAGCGAAGGCAACACATTGACCAACGCAGACACGATTTGCGGGATCAAGCTCTCAGGTCCACAAGCTTCCCATGAACCAGTCTACGGTAGTGTATATAAGCATGTCTAAGCACATGCATTCCATCGCAAAGCTGATGCATGTAAAGTGGCACTACATGTCCAAGCGTGGCAAGTGTTTCTCTGATGTTATGCTTGTTTATTCCCGAATGCGTAGCAAGGGTTCCCGTTTCACTCTGGGGGTGTGGGGGTTGAGGGTTTTCTCGCTCGACGTTGCGTTCACGGTCGCAACCGTCCGCAACCGTTCGTGCGATCCCCGTATGGCCGTGCCTATGGTAAGTTCTGCAGAGGTGGTCATTTTTGGAGGTTTCCAACGTTTCGTTGCTTCGTTTCGCGTGGCAGGCGTGGCACTTCGTGACATTCAGACGTGTTTTGTAACGTGTCGAAAGTCGTTTTGTGTGGCAGGCGCAATATTTTTGCGACGTTTTCCGAAGATGCGTGGCAGTTTTTGTGGCAGGCGCAGCACTTTGGACGTGACCATTGTCATTTTTCGTGGCAGGCGCAGCACTTTAGACGTGTCGTGTAGTGTGTTTTTTGCAAATCGCATTGGCAGGGCTGCGTCAAGTGGCGACAAGGTGCAAATTCCGTGGCAGGCGTGGCATTTTGTGACATGTGCCGAAAATTGACGGAAGCCTCGCACGAAACTTCGATTTTGAGGTTGCAAAATTTAGTAGAGGCTCCTACAAAAACTCGTAGGAAAACGTCGATTTTGAAAAGCTACAAAGTGTGAAAATTGGAGGAAATCTCGCACGAAATGCTTCTTTTGATGCTCCCACGTGTCTCGTCTCGAGTCTCTGGTTTTCCTGTGGCCTCGCCGTGTCTCTGGGGGAAGCTGCAAAACCATTTGCAAAACCTCTCTTTTTCCCGAATGCGTAGCAAGGGTTCCCGTTTCACTCTGCGGGTCTGCAGGGGTTGAGGGTTTGCTCGCTCGACGTTGCGTTCACGGTCGCAACCGTCCGCAACCGTTCGTGCGATCCCCGTATGGCCGTGCCTATGGTAAGTTCTGCAGAGTCTGGTCATCTTTGGAGGTTTCCAACGTTTCGTTGCTTCGTTTCGCGTGGCAGGCGTGGCACTTGGGGACATTCAGACGTGCTTTGTAACGTGTCGAAAGTCGTTTTGTGTGGCACGCGCAATACTTTTGCGACGTTTTCAGAAGATGCGTGGCAGTTTTCGTGGCAGGACTTTGGACGTGACCATCGTCATTTTTCGTGGCAGGCGCAGCACTTTAGACGTGTCGTGCAGAGAGTTTTTTGCAAATCGCATTGGCAGGGCTGCGTCAAGTGGCTTTTCTCGGTGCCACTGTAGGAAGTTCTGTTGCTCCAGTGGTTAACGTCAGGCGGCGATGTCCCCCACCAACTTGAATGTTTCAACGTGTCCCCGATGCTTTCTGGTTTGCTGATCCTTACATTTTATCTTGTTGTTTCGCCGCATGTGACTCTCAACATGTGATTATTCCTTATGTATATATAATAAAAGATGTTTCACGTGTGATATATTCGCATCGCCTGGCTTGCATGTCTTGGAAGGCGATGATTGCAGCGCGCCGCTGCGTTGCGACGCTAGTGATGCTGTCGCGGAGAGAAAATAGAATCGGAGCAATGACGTTGTTCCACTGTTCTACAATAGATGTGAGCATTAACACTTTAATCTTATGTGATCTTATGTGCATAATCGATACTTTAACATCGTTATCTTCCACATACGTGTGAGCATTCGGGTTCGTGGGTTTCATCTTGTTGTTTTTAATGTTTTTTTGCTTTTCAGATTCGTTGAACGAAGGCTAAGAGCAGGGGTATTTCCTTCAAGATTGTGAAACAGACAAACAGATTGGGGTTATAAGATTCTTACTGCTACAGTCTGAGACCATCAAAAATTATTATTTTTCATTTTTTTCATTTCCATTTTCATTTTCATTATCATTTCCATTATCGTTTTTTTTCATTTTATCTTCATTTTTTTCATTTTTGTTCATCACCTTTTGCCATCAAACTTCATTTTTTTTCATTTGCAACTTCATTTTTTTTTCATTTCCTTTGTTTTTGATGGTTTTTCATTGTTTTTCATGGTTTTCCTGGATTTCAGGTGCCACGGGAAAGGAAAATGAAAAAAAAATGAAAAAAATGAAAACAAATGAAAAAAAAATGAAAATTTCTTCGAGTTTTTGAAGATTTCCTGGTTCGGAGTGAGAATCTGCAACTTTGAGTCCAAATTTTCATTGTTTTTTCATTTGCAACTTCATTTTTTTGTCATTTTCCTTTGTTTTTGATTTTTGATGGTTTTTCATTGTTTTTCATTGTTTTTCATGGTTTTCCTGGATTTCAGGTGCCACGGGAAAGGAAAATGAAAAAAACATGAAAAAAAATGAAAATTTCCTCGTTTTTGAAGATTTCCTGGTTCGGAGTGAGAATCTGCAACTTTGAGTCCAAATTTTCATTTTTTTTTCATTTGCAACTTCATTTTTTTGTCATTTTCCTTTGTTTTTGATGGTTTTCCATTGTTTTTCATTGTTTTTCATGGTTTTCCTGGATTTCAGGTGCCACGGGAAAGGAAAATGAAAAAAAATGAAAAAAAATGAAAAAAAAATGAAAAAAAATGAAAAAAAAATGAAAATTTCCTCGAGTTTTTGAAGATTTCCTGGTTCGGAGTGAGAATCTGCAACTTTGAGTCCAAATTTTCATTTTTTTTTCATGTGCAACTTCATTTTTTTTTCATTTTCCTCTGTTTTTGATGGTGTTCCATTGTTTTTCATGGTTTTCCTGGATTTCAAGTGCCACGGGAAAGGAAAATGAAAAAAAAATGAAAAAAAATGAAAAAAAAATGAAAATTCCCTCGTTTTTGAAGATTTCCTGGTTCGGAGTGAGAATCTGCAACTTTGAGTCCAAATTTTCAATTTTTTTTTCATTTGCAACTTCATTTTTTTTTCATTTTCCTTTGTTTTTGATGGTTTTCCATTGTTTTTCATTGTTTTTCATGGTTTTCCTGGATTTCAGGTGCCACGGGAAAGGAAAATGAAAAAAAAATGAAGTTTAAAATGAAAAAAAATGAAGTTTGAAATGAAAAAAAAATGATGTTTGAAATGAAAAAAAATGAAATTTGGAGAAACAAAAAACGAAAAAAAAATGAAAAATAAATGAAAAATAAATGAAAACAGAAAAATGATTGAAAAACAAAATGAAAAAAAAATGAAGTTACAAATGAAAACCCAAATGAAAAATAAATGAAAAAAAAAATAAACATTTCCAATCTGTGGCTCGATGCGAATCATATAAGATTGGGGGAATTCAAAAGGTACTGGTAATTTCCTCCAAACGTAGCGTACGAGACTCTCTACCCATCACCAGAAACCTGCCACGGGCTCCCAAGTTTTTCCCATGCCTCCCCCTGAAGGTCAGCTCAGCCAAAGAGCTCAGTGATCAGCCTGTTCAGCAGAGATTTTGTTTCACATTTTTTCACGGTTTCTTTCTTTGTTCACATTGGTTCATATTTGTTCATCCTTTCCACCATTATCCACTGAACGTTTACAATCGTTTATGTTCTAGACTTTTCTATGCTTCTCTAGGGTTTTTTTCAGGGAAATGGTAGACAGAAATTACACAGGGGCGATGAAATCTGAAGAGAGCTTTAGGAATTTGCAACCGTTCAAAACGAGGTGATATCATCGTAGTATCCACGCGGCCCGGACAGCCAGGGACCAAAGCAGCTGGGCTGCAGAGGCTGAAGCAAGTTTTTTCTGGGTCATTTTGGGTTTTAAACTGCTCTTTCATGATTCGTTACTCTTTTATGGACGTGTTTGTCTACAAATGTTCGCATAATTTACATACGATACTTACAAGATATCAACTTGCAGTGTAATGACACCTTGTTTCATTCTAGTTTGTGTAGACGATGTGTTGGGTGAACCAGAGATCGAGCAGACTGAAGGATAATTGAGCAGGTGCAAAGACCGAGAACGGACATGGTAGACTCATAGAATCTCATAGACTATGACTATGATAGACTCTGTCGGCAGTGTCGGTGAACATCCAAGGCAATCTTGGAGTGTACACCCCCAGATAGCGACGACAGGGAGTCACAAGAAGACGAGACTGAGCAACCTGAGGATCGACGGAAGACCTTGATCACAGTGAACCTCAGCGCTCTTTCTATGCCAGTGCAGGATGATGATCCTTATGAGGATGAGGAGGAGGAAGACCAAGAGTCGGATGAGCTTGTGGTGGTTGAAGACAAGCCTTATATTTCACACAAGCAAGCGCAGTCCGTGAGATTGCTTGGGATTTTAGAGAATATTGAGAGACGGGTCTGTTTTGCTCCTCGGGCCCCGCATTTGACTTTGCCGCCAGGGGCGCCTGGCGCAAGCGAGCCTTCTCGGCCCAGGACTAGCCCTTTTTTGCCCTCAAGACCTGGAAGCAAGGATGGCAAGACAAAGTGTCCCAAAGCTATGCGGGCAGCGGCATATTATTCTTCTCGTCCCACAACAGTGGGCACTGGGTCCGATGCAGGCACGCGACCAGCTACAGTGGATTCGAAGAAAAATCAAACACCTGGAATGACTCGAATAACTTCACCTGTAAAACCTCAATGGGTCTGGGCCTCGGGCACAAGCATCTACAGACAAGCGCAGCACAGACATTTTCATGACATTCTCATGACCCCGGCAAAAGTGCGAAGATTATCTGCAAATGTTTACCCTCTTCTGATGGCTTCCCACTCTTTTTGGAAATCAGGACACATCCTTCTACAGCATGCATCAGCGCCGCATTCCAACCTATGCATCTCGGATAGAAGCACTACTCAAGCCACATTTATCAAAGATGTACTGCAATCTACTGCAATGACTTACTTTTAAACTTATTCCAGAATGAGACCGCTTGGCAAGTGAAAGGTTATTTGGCTGCCAATAGAATGACATTTAACTGGCACCATTTTGAGAGGCACATATACCTATATGACCAAACCTCATACTGCACTTGGTGATGCTGAATTGTGCTCACCAAACGTTCGTGGATCTCATAACTGTCCGAAACCGGAGAATCCGGAAACTTAGGATGCCCTCATTGATGAGAACTGTCCGGTTTTGAGCAGTCCCGAGCGATTGAGGTGCAAGTTTCAAACTGTGGTAAGTTCGCACAACCTGTTCAGACGGAAAGTTCGCTCATGATGTGATATGCAGTGTGACCGGCATACTCAGAAGACAGCAGAGTAAAGTACACAGAGCATGCTTGAAGGTTTGAGACAATGCGTGTTTTCTTCGAAGCTCTTGTGAGGAATTAGGTTCCCAAATGATGATTCCCAGTGAAATTTCCTATACTGTAATGATGCTGCGCACGAAATGCACCATCGAAAACC